GGATGTAGGGGATTATGTCATCCAAAAGGAATTTGTTTCTTTTCCCTTCAGGAATGTTCGCTGTATCTGTTAGTGTTTTCTTTTTGTACCTCGATGTTTATTTTAAATTATGATCTGATATCACAACAGGGTTTTCTTTTTTTTCATTTATTTTCCAGAATCTCAACAGGGTTAGTTAAATGGAAAGGGGATTTGGTGCTCTGCTCGTGTATTTTTGTTATCGTTTTCTTTACTTTCTCAAAAGATTACTTATGCGATGTGTACGAGATATGGCCATTTGAAAGTAATAGAAAATGATGACAAAGCTATATCAAATTAACAACCCTGTTTTGGGCATTGTACAAATAAAATGGAATGAGATTAGTTGATTGTTCAAAACTCACTGCATTTCCATAAGCACCAAGACACTGAAGAACAATATGTTCACCCCAAGAAGTCTAAAGCTTTGACATTATTATACAAATGTAGAAGAGGTTCTTTTCACATCACAACGTTTGAAATGCAATGTCCATGGGATGGAACACAATTCAACACACAAACCTCCTCAGAAACAAAAGATACTATACCTCTCTGGTTACTCAAGCGACTTAAATTATTCTATTTTCACATATGAAAGAAAAAGGGCTCATATCATACCTCCCTCCCATTCATTATTGCAGAAAATAGCCAGACAAGAAAAGCACAAAGAAAAGGAACAAGCCCCCAAATATGAGCACAGCCTTCTGGCCAGAAGTGAGTGCATTTCCACCAAGCCCAAACTGCTGGTTCTGAGCAAACCCAGCTATTTCCACACTCTTACTCACAAAGAAGCTCTGTGCAGCCCCACATGTTGGGCACCTCCAATCCTCAGGTAACTTATCAAATTGCAATCCTGGTGGGATTGGATATGATTGGTCTCCCACTGCCTCATCATATTTGTACCCACAAGACCTGCATTCATATATCCCTGTATTCAAAACTGCAAACTTCTCTTCAAGCCTGCGCTTATCAAATGTTGTTTCTGCTGCTGCTTCTTGTTCTGGCTCTGGCTCTATATAGGAGGTGGGAGGAGGAGAAGCAGGCTCATCTGATGTTGGTTTATCTTCTTTAGAGACATCAATGGAGTTTGTAGTCAAATTGTTTGGTTTATGGGGCTTGTGTGTAAGTGAGAGTGAAATGCTTGGGATCTTGGGAAGGAGAGTTGGGTTTGTGAATTGGGTTTTGGGTTTTGGATGAGCAGGTTGAGAAAAAGAGGTTGAGAGGTGGAAAGAGAAGGCGGGTCTTGTTGTTGCACAAGCCATGAATGCTGATAGTGGAGATGGATGTGACTTAGTGCCTCTTTGTTATTCAAAGAAGCACAAAGTGTACAGAGAAAATGGTTTAATGGGAAAGTTGTTGATTTTCAAGTTATGCGTGTGCATCTGGGTGGAGGAGAAAGCTCACAAAGGAAAGGGATCCATTGAAGGGCATATGCTTGCTTTGAAACAGGGAGTTGGATAAGGTGGGGAAGGTGTGCGATTGTAAGTGGATTCAAGAAAATGGGCCGGGTTTTGGGTTTCAGTCCAACTATCTAAAAACCCAAACACCCAAATACCCAAACCCAACAAAACAATAAAGTAATAATAAAGTTGTCACCACCGAGGTTCCAAGATTTGAAAGTTGACTGGGCAAAACTCACATACTAAACTCAATGGTATGAGTGGATTTCGTTAATAAACATATAAAGATACACATAGTCAGAGGGACGTAATGATCCTTACTCTCAAATGCATGTCTATCAATAAACAAAAGTTTAACAAATACCAAAACTAAAACTAGACAATGTAATCTAGGATCACACTTAAATAATTAATATTAAAATATTAATCATCATCGACTCTTTGATGATCAAACATTTCAACAATACCAACAACAAATCAAACATCTCAACAAAATTCCTAAAATCAAAGCCCTAATTAATTGTAACAAAATCCCTAAATTTTAATTCATTCTAGAATACTCAATTGCAACATAAAGATACATAAGAAAATTAAAAAGGAGAGAATGAGAAGAATAAGTGTTGCTAGCAAGAGGAGTAGTTGATGTCTATATGTCAAGAGAAGTAGAGGAGAAGTTGCTATAGAGAGGAGGAGAAGTTGCTGTAGACAAGACAAGAGGAGAGAAGCTGCCCATTCAATAAATTTTTAGGAAAAATTTGGGTTGGGTAGCTTAACATAGAAACGTCCTTGCCACCGACTGAGAAAGGAACTTGAAACTCAACTGGTTAAGAGCATTTATACATACACTTAAGGTTTTGTGTTCGAATTGTTTAGACAGTTGAATAAATCACAAAATTAATACATGTCTAAATTATTCTAGGAATTGTTATTTAGTTTAACAATTACTCTATCAAATAAAGAACAGCAAATTTATCTATCCTATTCAACCCAAAAGAATTTTACAAACTATATGAATTGAAAACAATTTTTACTCAACTCCCTTGGACCGCAATTCATCCAAAGCTGCCTTAACCTGATGCTGCACCAAATCCAACCTTTTAGAGTATGCCTCCAACTCCAAAATCTGCTGCTTCCTCCACTTCTCATCCGCCCCACTTCCAAATTTACTTAAACTCAGAGGTAATGGATTCATAGCCACCCCCTCAATTATCAACCCTGGTATATCTTTCTTCATATTATCATCCACATTATTGTTATTATTATTAATATCCAACGACGACGTCGTTCCATTATCATTCAAAACATCATGAGCCTTATTGTTCTCATCATACGTTGTTGTTAGCCTAGAATGCGACCACGCGTGTCTCTTCTGTGGCCGTTCATGATCTGCAACGCTGCTGCTACCCACGTTGTCCTCCTCCTTTTTCACCTTAACGTTGTTGCAAATACTAACGTACTTAGAATTTGGCGCATAATCTTCATGCGAATCTACGACGTTCCAAATCTTGTCGGAAAGTTCAAAAACGACCTTGTCGTGCGGGTTTTTGAAGCGGAACTCTTTGCCAGTCGAGTTCATGTCGTTCATTTTGTTTACGACGTTGTGGTACTTCTTCTTCAATCTCCTCAGCTTCTCGACCATTTGGACCCTGTTACATTCCAGCTTTAACTTGGGCTTAACTTCTTCGTAAAACGACGCCGTGTCCTTCACGGTGGTTCTAATTTGTCCCCTGCTGTAGTAGTCGTCCAGCAAACTCCGCAACAACTCCAGCTCGTCCTCCTTGCTCCACACCCTTTTACGACGCCGTTTCTTGTTTTCCTCGGGTGCTTCGGACGTCAATGCTGGCTCGTATGTGCGATCAATGCGTCGTCGTTTTGCACTGGGTTCGGAGACTGTGAAGGTGTAGTCGGAGGTGGAGTTGGAGTTTTGATCCTCCTCCTGCGGTTCGTATGAGACGTCGTCGTTTTCATGATCATCAATATTGTCATTTTGTGATTTTGGGACGTTGTCGGGGACATCATTAATTCCTCCCAAATCTTCAATGTCGTTGTTGTCGTCGGATTCATACTCTGAGGAAGAAGAAGAAGAGGAAGACGAAGAAGAAGATAGGATCCAACTAAGCAATGGCGGCCATGCCATTATTTTTTTTTATAAAAAAATTAAAAGAGACGAGACCCTGCAGAGAGCAGACCAAACCAGAGAGAGGTTGTTCCGGATGTTCTCCTTGAGTGGCTTGGTCTGCGTCTGAGAGAAATTGCAGTTTCGGGTTTGGAGTTCGTAAATTTTAGGTTAAGCTAGATAATTATTAATGATTAAGAAGAATTTGTTGATAAGAATAGCATAATTAGAAATGATAGTAACGTCATAGAGGAATGGATGTGAATGGAGGAACAATAATGGTGGCCACTATCCGATAATGGCTCATGTCCCCTGCCTTGCATGCCCATTACCTAATTTTTTACGTGAGGATTGTATTCACCTCCCAAAACAAGTACCGCTCTCAACAAACTTTCAGTTTAATTCTGTCAATAATTATCGTTGATGTGATTAGAAAATTCTAGATATACAATTTTCATTTTTTAAAAAGTCACGTATCTTGTATATGATCTCGTCACGCAAAATTTCATTTATATTTCTACCAACTAAGATATTGTACAGTTGTAGTGACACATAACACCTACGGCAATTGATTTTGTTTATGGCATCATCCATTTAAATATATTCAATATTTGTGTTAGTAGTTGACTATAGTCACTTGCTCAATCAATTATACCACCCAGCTCTCAACAGGAGCACCATCACCACACCACACCGTACAATTTGGGCCAAGTCATATACACTGTGCTTGTTTATCATTTGAATTTGGTAGGTGCTGGCTTGAAACATGTAGTGAACAAGCTCATGTCATACGGTTTAGATGATCAAATAGGTGACTAGACTTACAATATTTTTTGTTTGGTTTTTTCTATGGGGGGTCCCAAATATTGGACCGAACTTTTCATCTTATAATGGATGAAGATGATTGTAAAACAATTCAAGAAGCCATTTTCCATGAAGTTTCATTGCTTGCGGCCCAACCCATTTGATTCCTTTTTCTTTTAAATACGAGTTACCTCTTCTTTGTGTTGAGACGGTACACTCTGACTTTATTCATATAGTTAATTTCAAATTTCTTTTCCTTTATAGCTTATTCGCTTTTTCTGAAGCACCTTATATTGAGAATGATAATAATATATTAAACTCACATACACTACGTAAATGCTAAAACTCGAATTTAAAATTTTATCTAAATAAATAAATGCTTCAAACCACTATACTAATGGATCTTTTGCAAGATAATTCATTCTAATTTGTTTCGATGATTAGGGGTGTTCGAAATCGGTGGATTTAATAAAATTTCAATGACTTGGCGGATTTGGATTGGATCCTTAAATTCAAAAACTGATATAATTGAATACGACGACGGATTTGCCAATATTTAGGAATTGATTAGTTGGAAGTGGCGTGGGTGTGTGGGTCCTCCTCTCTCTCTCTCTCTCTCTCTCTCTCTCTCCCACGACGCCAAACTAAAACCAAACCAAAGAAAGCACCACCACCAAGTCAGGTCCACCCTTTCATTTCATCGACACTCCAACACGCAACGCATAAAAATAAGGCTAACCAAAACCTCGTGAACCAACCCAACTCCAACCCCACTTGCCTCCTTCCCTCTCTCTCGGCCTAACCCCAACTACTTCTCTCTCTTCCTGTTCTTCCTTTTCCACCAAAACACTTTGCTAACCTCACCCCCCAATTTTTACCAAAATTCCCATTCTAGCTGAGGAATGGCCCCCGACCAAGACGACGCCGTTCTGCCCGAAGGGGACCTCTCCTCCTCCTCCCAAGACGACGAGGAAGAAGACGACGTCGTCGACGACGACGAGGAAGAAGATGACGTCGACGATGACGACGACGTCCTAAATGATGATGTCATCAACTCTGCCTCCCCTTCCACCTCTTCCGCCGGCGCCACCGACTCTCTCCCCGTCGCCATCGCTACTCCCACCGTCACCGTCGCCCTGCCCGCTCGGGACCCCCCTCCCTTGGCTCTGGCCACTACAACCTCCACCGCAACTACCGTAATCGCCAACGACGCCGTATTGTCATCCGATCCCAAACGACATGCCGTTCTGTCCCCCCAGCCCGAAGAGAAGAAGCCGGCGGCCCTCGCCGACTCTCGGCGACTCTCCCAGAGGCGCTGGAACCGCCGGCACGGCAGCCACCCTCTG